GGGCACTGACACGGGCAGCCCGCGGACTCCCATTCACGGGCACTGACACGGGCAGCCCGCGGACTCCCATTCACGGGCACTGACACGGGCAGCCCGCGGACTCCCATTCACGGGCACTGACACGGGCAGCCTCAATGCAGATGGTATTCACTGGCGGAGGGTCCTCTCATTTTTTACTGTATCCACCAGTGAGCTCCATCGTTTTTCATTACCGCACCGCTGAAGGCCCCGATCTCCTGGCCATGCTTTCACCAGATTCATTTCCTTCTCTGCCTCCGCTGTGGGGACTTGGACATCAAAGATGCATAAATCGCCTTCCCACATAACCAATGCAGCTAAAAATACCAAAATGCTATATTTCAATTGGACGTCCAATCAGCATGTGACACAAAGATTTAGGGCTTCGGGATCTGCAGACGCCAGGCTACGGTGCAAAGGCCCCTAATGTGTTACTTGGCGTTGGAGACACACGTCTGTGTCCTTACTGCAGCTTCCCCAATGTCCTGTTGCTCCTCTCATACTCCATCCTGCAGACAGGATACATAGTGTCCCTGTCAGGTGACTGTCGGCCATTACACAACACAGGAAGTTGGGAGGGGGGGCTTCCAGCCAATCAGAGCTCTCTCCACAGTGGTAGCAATCAACCCCAGCCTATGGTCGCCCTCGCCTTGGTGGCAACTGCCAGCCGTAACCAATCGGAACTCCCTCTCTCACAAAGGCCCGCCCTACCACGCCGGTTCACGGAAGACAAATGGTGTTTTCATGTTTCTGCCCCCCCCCCCATCCCCCAAAGCATGTGCAGCCCAGACCAGGCTTTGCACAGCTGAGTCAACAGCAGCAGAAGGCGTTCTATCACTGTGGAGGCCTCTGGTCTCTCCCCCATCAATTCCAGGAAGCCAGACCAGGCCTGGGATCCGTTAGCAGCTAATTTCTGCATGTATATTAAACAAATATATATTAACCTCGTGTCCGTAACTTCCATTGAAGCCTTCAGATGGAAGTCGGCATGTCATTGGAGGGTGTTATTG